TCTGCCTAGGCCACTAATCTGGCATGGGCCCCAGTAACCTGCCTCCTCATGCTGCTGCCAGTCGACAGTGCCTCGACATGGGTCCCTTTACGCCTCCCGAGTTGCTGCTGTCTCCATCGCCACACTGTCCAAAAACAAAACTCTGCCATTGCCACTTTTCAGTTCTCCTTCAACACTGCTGGTAGTGTTACATTTTTTGTCATATAGGGTTGCTAGGCAGATTACGGGCCCTCCCATTCTATGCTGCTGCCAGTTCCCGTAATCTGCCATGGGCCCCAGTACCACCTCCTCATGCTGCTGCCAGGTCCACAGTCTCTCATGGGTCCCATCCCCCCCTTTACGGCCTCCCATTGCTGCTGTCTCCATCGCCACACACTCTGCCATGTGCCACTTTCAGGTCTCCTCACAATGCTGATGTGTTACATTTTTTTGTCATAGGGTGCTGGCAGATTACGGGGCCTCCCATTGCTGCTGCCAGGCCCGTAATCTGCCATGGGCCCCCGTACCGACTCCTCATGCTGTGATGTTGCAACAAGGTGGAATTCAACCCTACATATGTTAGACCGCCTTTACGAACAGCGAAAGGCCATCACAGATTTCCTGATGTTACAAGCGGATAAAGGTACTCCCTGTGTAACTTAGATGTCAGCCATTGGCAGCTCATGCGTGACACCTGCCGCTTGCACAGGCCCTTTGAGGAGGCCACGCTATTCGTGAGTCGGCAGGACTATGGGATGAACGACGTCATTCCTCTGTTGCACGTCCTGGAACAAATGCTGTTAACAATGGCTGGTCAGGGTGCGGTAGACGTGGCGCACAAATCTCAACGCCTCATGACCCCTGTGGGGGCAGGACAGGAAGAAGAGGAGGAGGTAGAGGAGGACATTGGTGCTCAGGAATTATTGAGTGAAATGGGTGGTTTTTCCACTCAGCGGACAGGAGTGGAGGAGCAGGAGCATCTGGTAGAGGAGGAGGAGGAGGAGACAGAGGACCCAGACGCACCGTGGCAGTATGCTGTGGAGATGGAGGCAGGGAGTCCCTCGCATTCCTTGGCACAAATGGCCCATAGCATGCTCGCTTGCTTGCGTAGCGACAGCCGAATAATAACCATCAGACAGAGGGATGACTTTTGGCTGTCCACCTTGTTGGACCCTCGCTACCGTTCAAAATGGTGGCCTTTTTCACACCTGCTGAGAGGGAGGCCAAAATAAAGTACTATAAAAAACCACCTATGTAGTCAGCTGGGTCTCTGCCTTTCTGCGCCAACGTCCATCCTCAGACACTGTGGGGCCCTGTGCGCTTGCGTTCCACTGCCATGGCAGCAGGGGAGGGGTGGGGTGGTAGGAGCAGTGTGGCAGCTCCACCAGCAGCGGCTGCCTCAGTCTGCAGTCGATGATGAGTAGCTTTCTTCACCAGCGCAGTGAGGAAACTACTAACCAGCCGCAGCAGCAGCAGCATCAGGTGGACCTGGAGCAGGACCTCAATCAACAGGCTCGGGCCTACTTGGACAGCACCCTGCCAACCGAGGTAGACAATCCCCTTGACTACTGGGCAACGAAACTTGACCTTTGGCCCCACCTAGCTGAATTTGCCCTTGAAAGGCTGTCATGCCCGGCCAGTAGCGTGGCATCGGAGCGCGTGTTTAGTGCGGCAGGAGGTATTGTAACTCCGCGGAGGACACGACTGTCCACCCAAAGTGTGGAGAGACTCATGTTTGTGAAAATGAATCAGGCGTGGATTAGTCTGGATTTCAAACCACCAGTTCCTGACACAACTGACTAAATCCGCCATGAATCATGCCCCAAACATGTGCCACTTTCAGGTCTCCTCACACTGCTGGTGTGTTCCATTTTTTGTCATAGGGTGCTGGCAGATTACGGGCCTCCCATAGCTGCTGCCAGGCCCGTAATCTGCCATGGGCCCCTGTACCGCCTCTTCATGCTGCTGCCAGGTCCAGAGTGTCTCATGGGTCCCTGTACGGCCTCCCATTGCTGCTGTCTCCATCGACACACTCTGCCATGTGCCATTTTCAGGTCTCCTCACACACTGCTGCTGTGTTCCATTTTTTGTCATAGGGTGCTGGCAGATTACGGGCCTCCCATTGCTGCTGCCAGGCCCCTAATCTGCCATGGGCCCCTGTACCACCTCCTCATGCTGCTGCCAGGTCCAGAGTGTGTCCTGGGTCCCTGTACGGCCTCCCATTGCTGCTGCCAGGAGGCAGCAGGGTCGCAGCAGTGTCAGTGGAGGCAAACGGCCACGGAGTAGAGCACCAGCTCCACTGCAGCCTACCACCACGGCCAGTAGTGGTGCCGGTGTGCACGGAGGAAGTAGCAGTCAGCCAGTGAGGAGTAGCGGGGGCAAAGTTTCCTACTCGGCGGTGTGGCAATTTTTCGTCAAGCCGCCCGAGGAAGTAAACGTAGCCGTATGTCGACTATGTGGCCAGAAAGTCAAGCGTGGCCAGGGGGCCCATGTTGGGACTACAGCGTTGCGTCAGCATATGCAGCGTCGCCATTCGGTGGCCTGGGAAAACCGTGATAAAGATACGGCGGTTCTGCCTGCCCCTGCCCAGGGTTCCATTTTGTCATAAGGTGCTGGCAGATTACGGGCCTTCCATTGCTGCTGCCAGGCCTTAATCTGCCATGGGCCCCTGTACCGCCTCCTCATGCTGCTGCCAGGTCCACAGTGTCTCATGGGTCCCTGAACCGCCTCCCATTACTGCTGTCTCCATCGCCACACTCTGCCATGTGCCACTTTCAGGTCTCCTCACACTGCTGGTGTGTTCCATTTTTTGTCATAGGGTGCTGGCAGATTACGGGCCTCCCATTGCTGCTGCCAGGCCCCTAATCTGCCATGGGCCCCAGTACCGCCTCCTCATGCTGCTGCCAGGTCCACAGTCTCTCATGGGTCCCTGTACGGCCTCCCATTGCTGCTGTCTCCATCGCCACACTCTTCCATGTGCCACTTTCAGGTCTCCTCACACTGCTGGTGTGTTCCATTTTTTGTCATAGGGTGCTGGCAGATTACGGGCCTCCCATAGCTGCTGCCAGGCCCCTAATCTGCCATGGGCCCCTGTACTGCCTCCTCATGCTGCTGCCAGATCCAGAGTGTCTCATGGGTCCCTGTACGGCCTCCCATTGCTGCTGTCTCCATCGCCACACTCTGCCATGTGCCACTTTCAGGTCTCCTCACACACTGCTGGTGTGTTCCATTTTTTGTCATAGGGTGCTGGCAGATTACGGGCCTCCCATTTGCTGCTGCCAGGCCCGTAATCTGCCATGGGCCCCCGTACCGACTCCTCATGCTGCTGCCAGGCCCGTAATCTGTCATGGGCCCCTGTTGTCGCTTGTTGGCATATTCCGCTCGTTCAGATGCTCCTTCTCCTGCTACTCCTCTTCACGGATTCCGTCAGCAGTCTTTCTTGGAATCCGTTTCCAAGAGACAACAGTTTGCGAGCACCCGACGGTGCAGAAGCTGAACGTCCTCCTGTCCAAGTTGCTGCTGCCAGGCTCGTAATCTGTCATGCGCCCCTGTACCGCCTCCTCATGCTGCTGCCAGGTCCAGAGTGTGTCATGGACCCCCGTACCGACTCCTCATGCTGCTGCCAGGCCCGTAATCTGTCATGGGCCCCTGTACCGCCTCCTCATGCTGCTGCCAGGTCCAGAGTGTGTCATGGGTCCCTGTACGGCCTCCCATTGCTGCTGCCAGGCCCGTAATCTGCCATGGGCCCCCGTACCAACTCCTCATGCTGCTGCCAGGCCCGTAATCTGTCATGGGCCCCTGTACCGCCTCCTCATGCTGCTGCCAGGTCCAGAGTCTCTCATGGGTCCCTGTACGGCCTCCCATTGCTGCTGTCTCCATCGCCACACTCTGCCATGTGCCACTTTCAGGTCTCCTCACACTGCTGGTGGGTTCCATTTTTGTCATAGGGTGCTGTATGGCCTCCCATTGCTGCTGCCTCCACCGCCACACTGTGGCTCCACACTCTGGTTTTGGCCCCGTGACTGCCCAAATGAGTGAAGTGTGCGGTGATTCTAAGATCGACGGCACTCATCTGCATGTCATACTGACTGACAGTATTATTTCTCTTCCCCAGCAGACTCCAAGGGCATTTAAATTAAAGGTACAGTGTTCTGCACTAATATAAAGGCTCTCTGAAGCCTAGAAACACCCTTTTATAAGTTAAATTCGCAGCGAATATATTCGACTCGAATCGAATTTTTTTTCACGAATTCGCCGAATCAGTCGAATCGAATTTTTGAATAATTCGCTCATCTCTACTATGGAAGGTTACCCCATTGAGCGCTGACATGAGGTAGGTAAGGAAATAAAGTTTTACTCTCATCTTCGTACTAAGAGTTCTACCAGTTTTTCTACATTTTTTTGTTAATCAGATACCTGGTTAATATTTTAGCACCCAGATAAGGTCAACCGAATTGTACAATTGCTGGGGTGCTTTTATATTTTATACTGACTCACTTGATTTCTTTTTTGATTCTGACTTGATGAATACGGAGCGACAAGGGAAGCTTGTAGAAGAAGAAGCTGAAAGACTATTGCTCTTGGCTTAGCCCAGTAATACTCCTGAAGCTTACATGGAAATAGTCTTCCATGGTTTGGCAAGAAGTTTGGAAAACCTTACTTTAAATTGTTTCAGGATAATTATATGTTCAATGGCTGCAGTAGTGGGGAAATATGCTCATTGTTTGTACCATTTACTTTTAACTTAATAAAATACACTGAAACTAAATTGGTTCAGCCAAGAGAAAAATGTCCACCACCTATGGGGAAACAGGTGTGTGCTAAGAAGCAAATGAAATGGAAGCCTATGATTAAATGTGCTCTCAATTTTATACTCGTTGTGGGGAAAAAATTGAAAGCATTTACTTTTCTCACTGCAAAAATAAAATTGCATTTATGCCTTAGTTTTAAAATAAACAAACATCCTATTTGTTGGTGCTCTGGTGTATGTTTCAAGTTCTGTTTGGGTTTACACTGAAATATAATAGAGGAGCTCACACTCCATTCCTTCTATGTTTTTATATCTGTCTTTAGTCAGTGCATGAAATCGGTGGTTGAGTACTCAGACCACTTTTGGCGGAAAAGTTGCCACGGTTTATTTTTTGTTGAGTCAGACTGGTTTTAAGGCCTTTGTTTTCTTTTGCAGCCTGTAAAGCATTCCAGAATGCCAGCAATTCTATGGCAAATTTCACAGCTATGGAATCACAAAGAGCTCAGAATTTACAATACAGATCTTGGGACTTCTGTTTATGGTTAACACAGAAGCTTGGTCAAATAACCCAGTGAAACTGTGGTACACAACGCAGAGCAGATCATTAAAGTTTATGTAAACCCCAACAATGAACTTCTCTTATTGGTCTGTTTAATATGCCATGGGAAGTGTTTTGTTATTTCTGTTTGATGAGAGTAAAAAGTGCATTTTCTGTGTTATCCTCCTAGTTCTTATCTTGGACTACAGAATAATTAGCATTTATTTTGTAGAGATCTGAGAGTAGAAGTGGTTGAATAGTTTAGCATATAATAGTTTAGCAAAAGGACAGGGCTGACACCATTCAGTCCACAAAAAGGCTGTGTGTTGTCAGCCCACAACAGGACAACACAGGACTTAGGCTGGCCATACACTATACAATTTTCTGTACAATTTCTGCCCAATTTTCTTTAGATTTACCTTTAACTATGTAGTGCAAGGGCCTGCCTAATTGGACACAATTGAAAGTGTTGTTTAGGTCTGACCTCATATTATATGGTTTTTGGTAAATCTAAAGCAAAATTCTCAAGAAAATTGTATAATGTATGGCCAGCCTTAGAATCTCTGGGTAATCAGCAGATATTTTTCTGTACATGCAAGGTTTTTAACGGGATAAAGTATGGGCAAATGTGCATTTATGTATGTATTGCAAAGTAGGATAAAACACATATTTGACCATAATCTCCACCCCCTTCTAATATGCTGATATTTAATTTTTTTCTCCTTATCTTGGGAAGCCATATATATGCATCTAATCCCCCTTCAAAATCCCTTGCTGCTGCCTGTTTCTGGGGGGACTGCTGATCCAGCACTGTGTGAGATGGGGAAACAGCTCTCATTGTTTGAACACTGTTTGTGTGGAAGTAAATTAATGTTTTGACTGACATTCTGTGGTTTAGCCACAATATGTCACTGTTTTTTAACACAGTCTCAGACTGCATACATATTTGTATATGCATGAAGAGGTGGGGTTTTGCACACAGCGTTGGAGAGAACAGGAAGGAAAGAGAGAAGCCATGTTTTGGAGCATGGTGAATAAGGGGCCTTGTGAGCTGAGAATCTGATGACATCCAGGTGTGAAAGCGTCCCTCAGTAACCAGAGATTGCTGCCAGGAATGCTGATGAGATTGCTGCCGGGAAGCTGATGAAATTGCTGACAGGAATGCTGATGAGATTGCTGCTAGGAAGGCTGATGAGAGAAGAGGAACTAAGCAACATATACGGCAAGACCACATGCTTGTTGGAGAGACATTTGTTCTGTTCAGAGTCACCAGCGGATGAAAAGCAGACCCAGGTTGGTAAGATCGTGCACGCACCTCATTTCAGTGTTGGCGCCTTGAGACTGAGTCCAGGCCTATAGTTAGTTAGTTAGGGTCTCTGTTTGTGTTAGGCCACAAGTGTTGTTACTGATTATTGGAAGGACTCCACAACTTAAAGTGACATTTCACATTGGAGAGCTGATAAAATCCTACAAACTCAAGCCAGACTGGCATTTTGCTCAGAAGGAATACTCAGGCACGTGCTACAGAACCAGTTATGGGAGGGGGAATACTGTAGATTTGTGTAAGATTGTAAGCTGTTGTGCTGCACCGCAGGCTAGCCCATACCATACACCCATACACTGATTCCTGCTCTTTTAGGGTAATAACGGGTAAGGTGTGGCAGCTTAGTTGTGCCCGCCAGTAGGTAAATTACTTCACTTTCTACCTTCATCCATCAGGAGGCGCCGTGTTGTGCAGCACAAGGGTCTCAGCCTTTGGGCTGGGTGTATGTAAATTTATTGTATATTCCCAGCATTTGTGGTTGTGTTTATTTGCCACATCTAGGTAAAATTCTGTTGTGGCAAAAGCTGGTGTTGGGGTTGCTTTCCTCGTTCGTGACTTCACTGTATCCTGGGGAGCCCACCCCGGTACACGGCTTACAACTGCAATGTCTCTCCTCCCGAGAGGGAAGTTCCCTGCTGCCCCCTCTAAAGATGCCATCCTCTTCTGGCTCTTGAGAGAACCCCACTGCTGGACATCTAAAGGGAACTGTCCACATCATGCAGGCACTGATGTGGACACCCAAAGAGGACCCGATGCAAGAAGCAAACAGAAGAGAAGACTCGGGGCGGCAATGTAACATGACCGCAGCTTAAAACGGAACTAAAATTCCACTGTCACAAACTGCAAGCACGCAGGCTCTTTATTACAGAAGAGACATGTAATACTACTACCTGCCTTCTTGTTGCGCTCTCCAACATGGAGGGCTGGTTCACACCAGATGCAGCCCAGTACATTTTTAATCTACACCAAAACCGCATACACAGTGTTTTCCATGTATCCCAACATCCCTAGTTCACACCAGTGCAGTGCACTCCAGTGCAGTCAACAAAAGTAGAACCTGCTGTACTTTTTCTGTATGGAATGCTGCAAACGCATTGGATTGCATAGATAAAAAAATCACTTGAATGTCCTGAATTGAGATGCAGAAAAGATGGGAAAAAAAACACACTGGAATGCACCAGAAATGCATCAAAAATATGCATGCAGAAATGCATCTAGAACATAGAAATTGTGGTGTGAACCGGCCTGCAAACGTTATGTCATCCTATGCCGGCCACTGAAGAGGCCTGAATTGCCTAAAGAGGCACTTAGAAGAAGATGCCAGTGCTGGCAAGGGATGGGAACCATTGAAAGAAAGGTAAGTTTAGCTGTGCATAAAGTTCACCTTTAGGAACATGTTGCACGTTCCACCCATTTTTAGCGTGGAACATGTGACATGTTCCCAATGCTTAATTAGAAATCAACCACCTCCTATCCTACTATAATTACCCTATAACACAAACAACACCTTCCCCTGAAGGTGTACCAAACTATATATATGACAGTGTTATTAACAAATGTTCCAAAGCAAATTATAATCATATAGATACCCAATTATTGTAAAATAAATCCACTACCAATATAAAGTCCACTATGATTTTTATGTAAATACGCAAAATGTCCCATCAATAACTCCAACGGTGTTCAAAATTAGTCCACCTCAAAAAAAAAGAAAACTCATATAGTGCATTAACCTTTATCAAATAAACTATATCTATATTTCCTCCAGTGAAAATAAGTAAAAGTTGTGAAAAAACGTGAACCACACGTGATCAGTGAAAAACCACTTCAATGTGCATAACACTATTTCAGTGCCACATCACAGAAAACTCCAATATAAAAGGGTGTATCCACTTCTAAAAGCAGTGAGGATACCCTTACCAACTTCCCAATATAATGGGCTTTGTAGTCATCCAGGAAATTCACAGGCTGATCCACTCAGGAACCTCTGCTGTATCACGCAGCCACCCCACTCTCTGGATTCCTTAGACACTTTGCTCCCAGTGTCACCACAAAAAAACACAGGACATAGTGTGATACCGCCAATAAAATAAGTAACATACACTTTATTAAAACTGCTCACATTGCCAAAGCTTTTTAACCGCATTAGAGGGAGTACAGAAGGTATAGGAATCTCACGGTCATCCAGGGAGACACGTCCCGTTGCTCCTACTCGATCTCTCCCTTATCAGAAATGGCCGCCAGGTAACTTCCGGTTTCCGGGAAAACGTCTCGACGTCACTCCACCTTGACGCGTTTCGTCATCGACTTAGTCATAAGGGGCTTATGACTAAGTCGATGACGAAACGCGTCAAGGTGGAGTGACGTCGAGACGTTTTCCCGGAAACCGGAAGTTACCTGGCGGCCATTTCTGATAAGGGAGAGATCGAGTAGGAGCAACGGGACGTGTCTCCCTGGATGACCGTGAGATTCCTATACCTTCTGTACTCCCTCTAATGCGGTTAAAAAGCTTTGGCAATGTGAGCAGTTTTAATAAAGTGTATGTTACTTATT